GATCGGTAGGCTGTGTGTGTACCTTTGACTCGCTGGGACGCATTTGAATCCGCCGTGGCAGTGCTGTTGAGATCAGCGGACGCTTCTTCAATAGGTAGAGCGCTTACCTCCAATTTACCCATACTCGGTAATCAAGGGCTGTAACAAACATCTCCGCTCCAACGCCCCGAGCTATTTAAAAGCACAGACTCGGAGATTGCCAGAGAACGACGAGGGTCTGTCTGTGCCCAACTGCATCCTTCGTGAATCGTGGAGCATCGAATCCCACCCATGCTATAAAGAGCAAACAAACGAAGACTCGCCATCTTACCATGAGCCTTCATCCGCACCTCCAGCACAACCTTAACGGCGAGCCAGTCCGGTGCTGCGCGCTGCTCTGGGACTTGCGCGAGCCGCCCCACTCCGCGCGCCACATCTTAGCGCCCGAGCGCCCGCTCTCTGATTTCGAGCTCTCGCAGCACGCGACGAACCCACCGATATCCCGCCTGCACATTACCTGCGGCATCTTCCCGGAGGAGTCCTGGGTCTCAGAGGCGCTGGAACTGGCTCGGTGTGACCGTCCGAGATGTCCTCGAAGCGATACATGTGACCGCGTGCACGCAGATAACTTACCAGGAGTGGGACAAGCTCTCTCCGAAACAACAGAACCGCGTCAATATCGTGTTTGATGCGCGCTGGCGACGGTCGATAGCGCCTGCGCAGATCAGGGAACGCGGGGTGCTGCGGGCGGACTGCCTGCTGCAGCATGTACTGTTCGGGGGTCTCACGGCGGTGCAAGACAACGATGGGGAGAACAGCACATACCTATTGACGCTCGGACGTCTTGGCAGTGCGTTGCAGGCCGTATCGGAAGCTGGTCCCACGGAAATTATGCAGATCCTCGAGGAGAAGGCACGGAGTATAAAGGGCATTATCGACGCCATGGACGACAAAGAGAGTGCAGTTACGTCTTCTGACGAGCCTCAACTCCTCACATTCGTGATATGTACACCGGACGCGGGGTGTGTCCGAGCCCTTGCTCTCTTGCCATAATATCGAGTGCTGATCATCACACAGGGACCAATTTCCCAACGACCCCATAGCTATTCGCCTGGAAGACGTTCATTTCCTTGAGGAGCAAGTTCCAGAGGGCGGGCATACCATGTCGACGCACACATCGGCGAAGGCGGTAAATTGGGTCGAGCGGCACTATGAAACGGACCTTTTGGAAACTATCCGCACTGCGGGCATCGGCGGTCCAATAGCGACGATGTTATCTCCGAACACACCCGCACTGGCTCTATTTGGATCCATCCTTGATGACCACGTTCTGGAGCTAGCAAAAGCATTGTCAAACGCCTCGGCTTTTGTGGTGATGGTTCGGCCCGCTGAGCACGATCCGCTTCCGAAATTTTTGGCAGCACAGGAAATTCCAGTGGACATCGAAATGGACACGGAGAAGAGCTCTGAGAGCAGCAACGACGAGACCGACTCGGAGGAAGATTTCCGCGAGCAGAGTGACGGTAGTGACGTGGGTGATAGCGACAGCGGTGACGAGTACGGCGTTCGGGGTGCCTTCCGGCCTCGCGGAGGCGCCCTGGTAGCAGATGGCAACTACAACACAGGTGACCCAGACTACATTGTACCTGCAGGCATTGTCCGGCCTGAAGGAGCTCATCGTACAAGAGTCAAGTTGCACCTCCAGCTACATCAAAACTCTGAGCCGTACGATGTAGCGATTATTTCAAAAACTGCAGTATGTAATCGCCCAAAATCCACAGGATCTTAAAACTGGAATACTTACCTGTCTGTAGTTCAAATTCCAAACCGAAAAGAGCGAAACATCGGATATGGTGGCGGAACGTATCACGCGCGCGCAGATCCTGTCTTGTGTGGACCTCAAAGTCGAAGCACAGCCCGTGGAAGTGCTCACGGAGCGCTCATACAGCAATCTTGGGTTCCTTGTCCACCGGCCGGATTCCATTGCCGGCCGCGAATAGTAGGCCTTTCAACATATCTCATCCAAGTGGTATTGATGTGTCTTGATTTCCAGCCTTCCTCGTGGGTTCGACCCGCCCGCTACAACTGCGACGCGCGGCACCCAAAAAACCACAGAGAATATGGGAGAACTGCTTGTTGGCGTCCAAAGCTTGAAGCCAGCAATCACCGCTAAACTGACTCACAAGCGAACGATTGGGCAGACAGTCCAACTGGCCGAGAACAAGGTACAATTTTTTAACAAAAGAAATAGGAATAAATGTGAATTTCACCGAAAACAGCCGACCCCATTATGCCATGTTCAAGAACGCATAGGGAAAGAATGGGATGCAGATGGCAAGTCGTATTCCTCGTACGATGTGACCTGGCACCCTATGGCCGATGCAAATGGCAATCCTCATCCAGTTGATTTTCGATTTGGAATGGGGATTGAATTTGGTGGGAAGGAGGTCTGTTCCCTTGGATTTCTGCGAAGGCCATAAGCAACTGAATGTAATGCAGGAACGCTATATCACTAGGTTGCCAACAATATCCCATATCCTGCGGAATCAAGTTATCCTTTGGGTTTTCGATCCTCAGCTCAAGGCCAAAGTACGCGGGCTGATTGTGCTCACAAGTGTAAGTCAATCATCTTGTCCTGCATTCCAAGTTGATGTGGGGAGGAAGACATATATTCCCGACATCAAAATTGCGGAACCTCTCGACATCTCCGAACGTGAAGTTGTTGATCTGGCTCTCAACTCATCCGTCGGTATGTTTACAGCCTCACGCGAATTTCCGCAATTTCCCAATTTACGATAGACCCACCTATCCTTGATAATGCACCTTTACCTCACGATGCCGCCAACTTAGTGGCCATTGCTTTAGTCGAACAATCCGCGGATGCTGGCAACAGCGGCATTCGAAATAGGGTGGACAAATTCATCTCGCTGTTGTCCGGCCGCAAAACAAAAAAGCCCCCATTAATTGACCTGCCACTCTACGAATATGTATCCCGTGGCTGGGACATTACCAACAACCAATGGAGAAACACAGTTTGGCCCAGGCTCGACTCGGGCTTGGGAGATGCTGACCGCTCCTCATCGGCGGCCTGGAATTTAACTCTCCCACAAGGGTTACCCGAAGACGCGACGGACGGTGGTCGCGCTGCTGTGGGAAATGATCCACCTGCTATTGAACAGTTGGAGCAAGGTCTACTTATGGATCCCACAGCTGAGCGACCAGAAGAAGCCCCCACCCTCCCCGTGGGCGTGTATCCAGAGATGGATGTTGACCCTACATGAACCAGTGGTAACTAGTACTAGTGATGTTACAAGTGAATAATGTATGTACCCCTACCAATTCCAACCACGTTGACACCCAATACTATGCCATTCGAGATATTCCGAGGGTACTTTTGTGTCTCACCGGAGTTCTTGATGGGAGAAAAATGGAAGGTAGTAATGTACGTGGAGAACCACCGATTCACTGGCACAACAAAATTAGGGCTGTTCACAGTAACCCTTTTTCGCTCACTTTCATGCTCCTTTTTTGTTTCTTTTTTATGCTTTTTTACCTTTTACCTGTTATGTGAGCAAAGAGGAATGAAAAAGGAGCTCAAAAATGGCTACTGGGAGCACCTATAAGCAAGAGCCTCTGTTGATTGTATTTCATTGTTCACACCAAGGTCACTGGTGACTGCCATCTTCACGATGAGGGGGCATCACTTACAGTGTCCTTATGGCTCTGTCGGGCAGGGGTTGGACTAGTTTTCAAGTCGAGGCCATTAAGGTCCAAGCATGGTGGATGTGAAAGCGGTTTACTACATAGTCACAAAACAATCATATGCAGAGTGGGAGATAATTGGTGCAGATGCAGTACAGGAATGGGGGCCGAGGATTCAGCTTGCATGGTTGAATGGTAGCCAGGGTCAAAGATGAAGGGCATGAGGTGGGATGCCGATGATGAGATATCTTTTCTTGATATGGATGATAAGAGGGTGACTATAGCACCTCACCAGAAGTCCTAGGTGGTGTACAGCAGTGAACTGGTGGTGCTGGCGAGTGCACAAAGCTTGCCAGGGCTGGAGCAGAGACAAGGCTACTGATATGGTGGCAGTTGTGGTTGTTGTGAATCCTATCTTTGACTTTGGCAAATATAGGCATTCATATCTGTTTGCTGCTTTTTCCGCTTTGACAATGTGCAATCTCCTGATCCTTCTGCTCATCGAAAATCACCAAAAAAAATTGGACAATGTTCGTGAGGGCCACACCTTGACTTTGACACACATTTTCGGACTTGGTGCAATTTTTTTGACAGCGGAAAAAGGCAAAAACAATTAATCCCTGCAGGACTCGAACCTACACTCTGGTCCTATTGGCATCAAGCCAGCTTTTGGACCATCTAGTGCAGCTGTTCCACATAAAAGAAGGTGAAAGCAAGGTGTCCTGGACCTGGAGCTCTGAGTTGTATTTCCAAGGTCAGGAAGTAGGTGACCAGAGGACCATGGTATGAGGACTGCAGGACTTGAATCTTCACAATTGGGCAGCTTATGAGATCTAGGTAACATGAATATAATTTATTGGAGATTCTTGGAGCTCCAGGTGCTGTATACCAAGAAGTCTTAGGGGGGTACAAAGTGATGATGCTGGTGAGTGCCTGAAGCTGTCTGAGGCAGAGACAAAGACAAGATTACCTAGGTTGTTGTTGTTGTGAATCTAGTTTTACTTATCTTTGCTATTGGCATGGATATCTATGTTATTACTTTGGCTGCTTCACTAGGTGTAATTCCCCCGCCCTTCTGCTGAAAAAAATTGAGAAATTGAGAAAACATTGTCCAAGGTTTCTTGACTTGCACAAAACATTTTTTCGGCTTTGGTGCAACTTTCCCAGGGATCAAAAACAAAAAGCAATGAGCACTGCAGGACTCGAACCTGCAACCTTTTGGTCACCAAGTTACGTAATGGATTATGTATTTAACTTGAAGACATTTGTTGAATGCGTGCAATTTTTCATGACGTGTAAAGAACCAAGAAGCAAAAAAGTGACCGCTGCAGGACTCGAACCTGCAACCTTTTGGTTAGGTAAGCATCGAAGCCAAACACGCTAAACCATTGCGCCAAGCGGCCGACATAACCCTTTCATTGCGAGCTCACTTACCGTGCACTTGAACCGTCCTGTGGAAGCACAGGCTGGATGAAGCGCAGGCTCAATTGTGGCCGCTGCTGAGCTCCATTGGACTTGACTCTCTCGGATCCGTCCTGTGGATCCACAGGACAGATGAATCAATCAGCTAAAGTTGCTTCGGTATTTCTCTACTCCAAGAATTCCTGGCCACTGCCGGCTTCATTCATTGACTTGATTGCTTGGATCCGTCCTGTGGATCCACGGGACAGATCGATCAACCACCTTAAGTTGTAAACCGCTTTCGGTATTGAACTCGTTTGCGGTCCGTCGAAATAATTATACACAAGCAATGAGACTTTCTAGGTCACTTTGAGATGCCGGCCCAGAGGCAGTTGGATAGAGACTCTGCATTGCAGAATACATGCTCGCAAAAATATATACAGACAAACTGTACGTCAGAACAAGAAAACGAGCATCAACACGCGTCCACAGCCATGTCCGTCGTGCGTACGTCGAGCCAGTTCTCGATGGCTTTACATATCATGACCCAAACCGGTTCCTCCACCGTCAAGCCGTATTCGCCAATGTCCGCGGCGCTCCACTCGAGGATGTCGTAGACTTTGACGTTGTCGCGCTTCAGATGGTCGGCGAGGTCGGTCGTGACGACACCGGGGAACGCAGCGACAAGCATGTCGACACAATCGTCGACCTCGGCCTTGATCATCCATAGCTTGATGGCCTGGATGAACCGCGCGTGCAGCGGCATAGTAAATTTGAGGTCGCAATCGGGCATGGCGTTGCGAGGGAATCGCGAGAGCTGTTCGACGGTGATGCCGGCGTCGACCAGCTTTTCGATGTTCACGCCGGAGAATTCGGAGTGCTCGGTGCCGATGGCGAGGAGACAGCGCCGCAGCTCAAAAGCTCGTGGGTCTGGGGCCGCTGCGGATGCAATGGGTTTGCGAGCGGTCCCCTTCGCTCGGCGTTTCGGCGGGGCTTTGACGGTAAAGACCGGGATCTTGAGAGCTTTGCAAATGGCCGCCCCCCAGCGACCTTGAACTGCCGACTTGCGGTACTCGACGAGCGTTGCGGCCGGCAGGGTTTGACGCTTGTCGGCAGGAACACGGTCGTCGGCGAGGAGCAGGGCGTCGGTGTGAAAGAGGAATTGAGAGGGGAGTTTGAAACACGAGTCGTCGTGATGATCTTGTGCGCAGCGCTCCGGATCACAATCGCTCGACTCGACACAGTGGGTATTGCACCGGATGAGGTTGTATGCGTGCTCCTTTTGTAGATGTTCGACCATGTCGCCCGTGTTTCGACTGCAGCAAGAAATGAGATTGGGGAGATTGAAGGCACGTTGAGCGGCTTACACGACGTCCGAGGCACACGGCGGCAGCCCACACTTGAACTTGAGGCCATAATCTATTGTCATATCCGCGCGTGTTACAGGGCTCCGCCAATGCGTCGCAATATGCTCCATGAGCTTGGTCGTATTGGGGAAAACTCTGCGACAGCTTCGGTTAACACTATACTCGAATAGAATAAAAGATAACTAACAAGAGGCGCTGGTGCCACGGCGAATCTTCCATGAACAAGCAGAGGGGGCACCAAAAGAAACTGTGGAGACGAAGCGCACGGCTCTGGGACCGGCCCGAGTCGAAGGGGGTCTGGATGCTAAGAACGCGCGCGCCGCTAGGACTCGTTAGGGCCATCATCAAGATAACGGAATGGCGGGGACTCACTCGAGGCGATCGGACACGTCCGTATTGAGTTTTTGGCGGGATCGTATCAGTGTTTTGTGCGAACGGACACTCCTGCAGAAAAGGACGGCTCAGCACGAGTCAGAAAATGAAGAAATAGACGTACGCCATGGATACGTCGCTATCGCGCCCGCTAAAAAGGGCTCGTCAGAACGCACACCACGGCAGCGCGCGAAGGAGACGAACCTGTTCATGAGCACGTCAGAGTCGCTGGCGGCCTCCGCGTCGCGTCCCGAGAGTGCTGGTCGTCCATCCTCGCTCTCTGTCTCCGCGTCGGCGGGCTCCTCTACCTCCTCGCCCCGAACAAGCGCCATCAGCCGCGCAAAGCAGCCCTCGGCGTGCTCGACCATCGCATCGTGGATGGCGACGCGCTCCTCCTCCTCCATCTCGTCGTCCTCCGTGATCGACGCCAGCGGTACTACAGGAAGTCTCGGCCCGCGCGGGTGCCTGAACCGCTTGGAGCGCTTCGGGATAGCGGGGATGAGCTGGATGCAGACGGGGCAGCGCCACTTGTTGGGGTGATGTTTGAGCTCGCACCCGGTGACGTGCTGCACGTAGTTGTCGGCGTGGTCCTTGTTCCGCTCCTCCTCAGATAGAGTATCGTCCGTAACACACCATATACAGCGGCTGCCCTTGGGCTCGTCGTCGAGATGGATGAGAGCGAGGTATCGCTGGAGGATCGCGAGCCGAGGGTTGGTGGGCTCATTCGCGATGACGGCGAGAAATGGGTGCGCTGCATCGGTCGCCGCCCACGCGTCCATCATCGACTCGTACAGCGCGCCGGCGTCGACGGTGTCGCCTTGCTCGTCGGAAGAGGCGGACGCGGGGGAAGCGAGGGGAGGGGGAGAAGCGCGGGCGGGAGCATCGACGCGAGCGGGAGCATCGACGCGGGCGTACTGAACAGCCATTAGCGTTAGATCCGAGTCAAGTCGAAAAGAAAACGTACGCCCTCGGAGAGGGAGAGGTAATACCTCAGCGTCTCGGCCTGCATCTCTCGCGCGTCCAAGACGCACTGATCCTCCTCGCCCTGCGCCAAAATCAGTACGGGCGATCCCCAAACAACAAGAAGAAAGAAACTCGCCTGCTCGAACAGCTGCTGGGACGACCTAATGTCGCCAAACTTCTTCTGCACGATCGCCTCCAACCGCGCGCACTCGACGACGAATTTTTTCATCGTCGGGTCTGACTTGAGCGTCTCGTCTGTCGGCGGTGTCTGTCGGTTCCAGGCCACGGAAGAATGTGCCTCGGACATGGCGGCGAACGAGGCGTTCTCCTCGTCGAAGCGCGTACCGGAGACATCGACGGGTCGATCCGGGGCTTGATACGTGGTGAGGGACAGCCTAGACTGGTGTGTATGCCCCATAAGGTAGCGCAGGTGAGTCTGAATGCCGGTGAGCGTGCGGACGGGTCAAACATAACAGAAGCGTACTTTCGACACTTTGTCGACCATAGCCGACGCCCAGCTGTAGCGCAGTGTAACGAAGGAAAAGTCTAAACATCGTTCAATGATGCGGCATAGAACATGACGCGTTAAAACTTACTTTTCCAACCCAAGGCGTTGCGGATTTTGGTGAGATAGTGGTTAGCGGTGCTTATTGTGAGGGCGTCGGTCTTGTCCTTGTTCCGAAAGATCGGGAGTTCCCGAGCTTTTTGGCGGATCGTCAACTTGATTGGGAACGTGAGTGTGGCGGGGTCTGCGGCGCGGAGGGCGAGGAGATCTTCCTCGAACACGTCAGAGGCGATGCCGAGTGCCTCGATCATGAGCTGGGAGTCGAGGTGGATGCGCGAGCGACCGAGATTACGCATTGCGGTGGATATACTGTATGGGCCGCGCGTGAGTTGAATGAGCCATCAGCGAAGATCACGACGTACTTGAGGCTCTCGTCAAAGCGCTGCCCCTTGGCCCACTGAAAGACCCAAAACGACTGCAGTCCGAGGCCCGCGCCCTCGTCCCAACCGTAGATTATCCACTGAGTATCCTGTACATCGACGTCAGAGACGAGTGGATAGAAAAAAAGGCAGAACGAACCTTCCATTTGACGTGCTCGCCGCGGCCTTCGTATCCATTAGCGTCTATGACGCATCCGGGGCGCGGCCCGTGCGTGTAAATAAACGATACGAGAGCCCTCATTTGATGGCGCTGGGAATGGGGTGAGCTCGAGGGAATATCGCAGCTGAATATACACGTACGGCGAAGTTGCTGGCGATGTTGAGGGTACTCTTGAAGGTCGCGGCGAGGAGCTCCACGAGGTCGGTTTCGCGTACGATGCGCTTGGGCTTGCGGCGCGTTGTCAGCTCTTTGTCCTTGTACGCCCATTCTGCGACAGCCTAAATAGCTCGCGTCAGGAAATAAAAATAAAACCCCCCCGAAGGAAGATGCGCGGAGGAATGGGCGCTTACCGCGTTTATCTCGTCGCGCATGTGTTGCGGCGGTGCCGTCGTTTGTGCGCGGCGGAGCTTGTGGCGTGCGGTCAGCGCGGGAGCGACGAGGAGCCAACTATTTCGTACCATCGCAAATACCCTTCCGACAAAAATCCGCGTCGTCGGCATGGACCACCCCTCGATCCCCTCAATTCCGAGTCCCGAACAGCCCTTCGTGGCGAGGAAGTGGACGAACTGCTTGACCTCTGCGAGCGGCGGGAACGGTGCGTCTTTCATGAGAGTGGCGGCGGCCTTGGAGGGACTGCGGTACAGCTGAGTGAACCACTCCAGCCAAAGACGGCGAGCGATGGCGTGGTTGCGCTCAGTTGAGATGGAAATTGGGCGGAGGTGAAGTCGATCGAAAGCCTCCGTCGCAGAGACCATCGCGTCGGCAGTTGGGAAAGAGGTGACGATTTGGGCCGTGAAGTTGCGGCGCCGGCTGCCGGGCCCAGACTTGGGAGGAGCAGCGACATTGACGAAGCCGGTGGTTGGATCGGTGCTTCCAGGGACGGAGTCGGACGAGGCGGTAGGTTCGGGCGCGGGTTTCTTCTTTTTGCGTTCGAGGGCCTTGCGCGCAGGGGTGGCGGGGACGACGAAACTCGCGGAGCTGGTGCTCGGACTCATGGTGGTCGAGAAGAAGAAGGGATCCGAAGTTTTTGGGCCTTTTATACGGCGAGAATCGAAGTTTCGGGGTTGGGATGGCGAAACACCGAAGGAGGAAGAATGTACGTACATTGGCAGGAACCGGAAGTCCCTCCGCGTTCTTTGTGTGGAGGAGAGAGCAAAGAGAGGCCATCTGTTCTCGAAGAAGAGAGCGTCGAATC